ACATGTTGAACTTGTGCTTTCTGTTGTCGCTGCTGTTGTAGGAGGTATAGTTGTAGGGGGTGGACTTGTTGGCGGTGGAGTTGTAGGAGGCGGAGTTGTTGCGGTGGAGTTGTAGGAGGCGGAGTTGTTGGCGGTGGAGTTGTAGGAGGCGGAGTTGTTGGCGTGGAGTTGTAGGAGGGGAGTTGTTGGCGGTGGAGTTGTAGGAGGCGGAGTTGTTGGCGTGGAGTTGTAGGAGGCGGAGTTGTTGGCGGTGGAGTTGTAGGAGGCGGAGTTGTTGGCGGTGGAGTTGCAGGAGGTGGAGTTGTTGGCGGTGGAGTTGCAGGAGGTGGAGTTGTTGGCGGTGGAGTTGTAGGAGGCGGAGTTGTTGGCGGTGGAGTTGTGGGAGATGCAGTTGGAGTTACTGGCTTGACAGTAGGTTCAGGTTCGAGAGATGGCAAAGGCGGGACGGTGCTACCGCTGTTTTCAAATTCCACAACAATAACTTGAATTTCATTCTCAATATCTGCTAGTTCTTGCCGAGCCACCTTAGTGGCATTTTGAGCCGTCTGCTTAGCACTTCCTACACCGGCCAACAACGCTGGCACATCGAGTCCTGAAGCACCTGCAGCAACTTCTGCATTGAATACTACAAGTCTGCCTCTGAGAGCTGCCAGTTCGCTAGAGAGGGAGTTGATTTTCTGGACGTTCCTGCTTAGCAGAACGTCGCCCGAGTTAATTAGTGCAGTTGTCAATTCCTGCAGCAGATTAAGATTTCTGCGTCTACGCCGTCTTCCACTTGCAGCGTTCAGTGTAGTTTCAAGTCCATCTAGATCTTGTCCAATTCTAACCACTTCATTTTTTGCTTCGTTCACCGCTTCCCTCTCTTGTGCACGGTTATCAAGCTCTGCGCTAAGTGCTAATGGAGGGGAGTAAGGGGGGTAGAATAGTGAATCTTACTACACATAGTCTTAGTCACGGGAAGCCGATATCATAACATTTGTCATTGTTCTCTTTTACACTATAGTACAACATACTGTTTAAAACCAAGACTTACTCAGGGTAGAACTACAGCTGCTGCCTCCAGTGTTATCTGAGATCCAGCTAGCGAAAGCAGACACACGGGTGTACACACCAGGGTTGTCAGGGACGGCACACTGGAAACCATAGCTGACAATTCCGATTTGAGCCCAGGTGCCGTCACAAAGTTTCGCAACAAGAGGACCACCGCTGTCACCCTGCGGTTATGTACAGGGTAATGAATTGTTAAATAGGATGACTTATCAGGGTACTTTTGCAATTAAGAAACGTGTTCCCAAAGGTTAAACGAATTATGGCCATGGAACTGTTGCTTACCTGACAGGTATCCTTATAGAGAGTCAGAGCACATACAACCGAGTTTGTGTCTGGCGGTAAAGAAGCCTTCTGCTGACACTCGTCTATTGTGATGATATCTAACTCTACTTCCTGCAGGACGTCAGGTGATGATCCACCTGTTCAAAATAAGATTAATGTTACGAAAAATTGTGGCAGATATTTTGATGAGACACAAAGCAATATAGCACTTTTAAAAGTTTACTGAGCATTTCAGTATTATTTTATTTGATGGCTAAATTGTAAAATAACAGTTATCTAGCAAGATGTGGCAAGTGACTGAATGGCATGGTACAGAAAAAGAGAGGGGACGAAGGACAGGAGAGATGGCCATTCACTTCATTTACACAGACGAGACATTGAAACAGGAGTTTCAATCTTTTATTACCTTATACTTAATGGGTAATGAAACCAAAGACGAAGCAGAAATCAGTGGACCTACCAAACGACAGGGTTCCCCATCCCGACGCCACCGCCTTGCCTCCGAAGGGTATGTCCTCTTGCAGTCCCAAGCAGATCGGTTGGATATTGGCGTCGGTCGCATAATTCAGAGGTTGCGGCAGCTCTACCAGCGCGATGTCGTTAGCCTGAAGAAAGGGGAGGAGAGGTAAAGCATGTAAGCAAGGATAGGAGAAAGATACAACCATTGATAAAAGTGGCCCGTGTTAAGCACTTTTTCAATTTATAGGATTAACACGGAGAAGATATTCAAAACTTTCTAAATAGCAAAGATATGCAGATTGAAAACACACTGCTACCTTATTTATGGTCGTACAACGTTCATGAATTTTAGAGACTAGTTTTCAATGTTTCACTTGGTTCTAAGTACCACAACCCAGGTTTCTGATGATAAATAATGAATGAATGAATGAATAGTGGACAATGTCTCATGATGCTTACGTTAGTATTCGAATCATATCCCGGATGATCGATGAACCTCGAAGCCGTAACCGTTGTCCCAGCACCTCCGTTGATATCGATTGTGCCATAGATGATGTCGACACTTGTCGCCTTGTTGCTTTAGGCGAGGAAAATATTTTGTTACAAACCTTAATGTTACTCGCATTATCATTATAATTATTGATCCATTGTATGCACACACACATACATACATGTAAACACACATATATACACATGCACACATGGAGGT